CCTTTTGCTCTACGAGCTCGTGACGCGCAGGTGGGACGTGATAAAGACTCGTTGAAATTTTTGGGTTAATTGTTATGTACATAATCAGGGATCAAAGCGAAGAGCATGTCTAATATTTTAATATTTATTCATTTTAACGTTTTAACAATTAATTGACTTTTAAGGACACAGACTCGTTGAAATTGAATTTTTGGGTTAATTGTTATGTACACGACGGAGGATGAAAGTGAAGAGCATCTCTAATATTTGATCCTTTGTTCATCTTAACGTTGTAACAATTAATTGACGTTTAATAACCCAGACTCGTTGAAATTGAATTTTTGGGTTGATTGTTATGTACACGATCGAGGATCAAAGTGAAGAGCATCTCTAATATTTGATACTTTGTTCATCTTAACGTTGTAACAATTAATTGACTTTTAATAACCCAGACTCGTTGAAATTGAATTTTTGGGTTGATTGTTATCTACACGATTGAGGATCAAAGCGAAGAGCATGTCTAATATTTTAATATTTATTCATTTTAACGTTGTAACAATTAATTGACGTTTAATAACCCAGACTCGTTGAAATTGAATTTTTGGGTTGATTGTTATGTACACGATCGAGGATCAAAGTGAAGAGCATCTCTAATATTTGATACTTTGTTCATCTTAACGTTGTAACAATTAATTGACTTTTAGTAACCCAGACTCGTTGAAATTGAATTTTTGGGTTGATTGTTATGTACACGATCGAGGATCAAAGTGAAGAGCATCTCTAATATTTGATACTTTGTTCATCTTAACGTTGTAACAATTAATTGACGTTTAATAACCCAGACTCGTTGAAATTGAATTTTTGGGTTGGTTGTTATGTACACGATCGAGGATCAAAGCAAAGAGCACGTCTAATATTTTAACCTTCTTTATTTATTCTAACGTTGTAACAATTAATTGACGCTTAATAACCCAGACTCGTTGAAATTGAATTTTTGGGTTGATTGTTATGTACACGATCGAGGATCAAAGTGAAGAGCATCTCTAATATTTGATCCTTTGTTCATCTTAACGTTGTAACAATTAATTGACTTTTAGTAACCCAGACTCGTTGAAATTGAATTTTTGGGTTAATTATTATCTACATAATCGAGGATCAAAGCAAAGAGCATCTCTAATATTATAACCTTCTTTATTTATTCTAACGTTGTAACAATGAATTGACTTTTAATAACACCACTAAATAATTGTATCTTGCGGTTAAAATCCTGGTGTTGTTAACCTAGCTCAGTTGTAACGACTTTGCATAGAACAGGCTCGAAACAGCATTTAATTCGAAATAGCATTAAACCTGGATATCGTCCCCCGTCGCTTTTAAGATAACAGTGAAATTTCCAAAGTGCTTATCTCGCAATCTCCTTTATTTCGATCGATCGGAAAAAAGTTTGCCGTAACTTCCCAATCGCTTTCGCTGTTTAAAGTTCTTGAACGACAACACGGATGAAACGGAGGGAGTCATTAATTTTTCCGACTGTTTTCCCTCGGAGCTTGCCTCGAACAAACAGGCAAATATTTTTCCTAACGCGACGCTCTTTACGAGACTTCCGGTTACCCTTTTCAAAAAGAAAGTCACAGGCTATCTCATTCGAAAGTGACCGTAACAAATCGGACAGAATAAATCAATGGATCAGAAATAAATCAGGAAAAATTAGAGCGTTTAGGATCAGACTACGTTTTTGCTCGATTTCCTGGGCGAACTACCCTATTTTATCACCGTCTGTCGATAGCAGGCAGTCTGAGTAAGGGAAACATCCCTGTCTTTCGAATTCTGTCGTGGGTCCTCGTAAAACGTGCGCCGCGTTTTCCTAACGTATTCATTTTTCTCTTTCTAGATTTTACTTGTCGAATTACTATTCCTCTTTCATCTAGGATCTAAAGGTATAACACTAGACAAAGATATGAAGAATCAATTTAAATAATACGAATCGATGGAAGCATTTAGATACGGTGTTTCGAACTGCGCATGCGCGGAGAGTACAAACATGGCGGTCGGGAAAGCATAGTTTAACCTTTTCCTTGTTAAATTACTATTCCTCTTTAATCTAGGACTAAAGAGTAAGTATAATACTAGACACAAAACTAATTTAAGAGACGAAGAACCAATTTAAATAGTACGAATCGGTGGAAGTATTTAGACACGGTGTTTCGAACTGCGCATGCGCGGAGAGTACAAACATGGCGGTCAGGGAAGCATAGTTTAACCTTTTCCTTGTTAAATTACTATTCCTCTTTAATCTAGGACTAAAGAGTAAGTGTAATACTAGACACAAAACCAATTTAAGAGACGAAGAACTAATTTAAATAGTACGAATCGGTCGAAGTATTTCGACGCGGTGTTTCGAACTGCGCATGCGCGGAGAGTACAAACATGGCGGTCGGGAAGTACAGTTTAAACTTGTACACCTCTAATTTATTTATAATATTTTATCACTTCTCTGTGACTCATTCATCTGTTTCTTGTGTTTTTCATTTTCTTACAGGTTGCTAATAATCATTTCTGTAATGTACATGTAATGTATATTAATTTATTTAAATGTATAATGTAATGTAATGTAATGTAATGTAATGTAATGTATATTTCTGAAATATATTTTGTAGAGTAATCGTCGTACTTCAACCTGCATTTGAGAGGCGCTAAAAGAGTTCTGAAGAGTATCTTACCAAATGCAATGACACGTTATGAAGTGGTAGAATCTGATCGGTAAAATCGGTAGAGGCGCAGCGACCACTAATTGCAGAGCGTAAAACGGCGAATAAAAGCGAAAGATCGGGGGCAGGGTCTCTAACGAAGTAGAAACAGTTTCGAGACGACAATCACGAGACAGCCTTTCAAACAGCTCGAATCGTGGCCCGGCAGGAACAATGAGCAAGAGGATCGGTTACCGCATTCAAGTCGACAATGAGCGGAGAGAAACGTTGGCGGCCTCGCCAAGCCGTATGGAAGAGGTCGAAAGAGGGCCATTCTTATCGTGAAAAGCGACGAATCTCCGACTAATTATTGTTTCGATTCGAAAAAGTCGAAGGTCGAGAGTTTTTCGTATTTAACGAAGTTGCATCATTGTCCGGAGTGCATTCAGTGCTTCGGTTGAAATTTTTCATAAATGATAATTGGAGTCGAGATATTTGTAAGAGGATCTTGTTCAATGCTTCTTTATATCTTTAGTTCGATTTTGGGTCAACTGGGTCTATAAGGACCCGAGTGTATTGATCGAATTGCCTTCGAACTTAGGAAATTTGTAAGAGTAAAATAATTGGAAAATCTGTATCAGAAGCAGGGATTGATAAACGGTGACATTCGATCTGCAGGACGCGTGTCTTGTGGTTCGACGTAAACGACGCCGGAAGCGAACAGACTCGATTCGAAATCGAGTTAGCTGCGAAGCTAGTTAATCCGAGGCTGAGGGGCGGGCTAAGTTTGATTGACGACGAAACTTTGGATAATTGATGCGCAACTTGTCGGATAGAATCAACTTATACTAGGGCGTTCACTTGACAGTCAAGTATATGGCCGTTCGAAAATTTGTTAAGCTACTAACACTAGGGAGAACTAGGGTAGACATCGGCAGATCAAATAGTCCAAGATAGTTACAAAGAAATTTTGTGCAAAACGAAATAATTCAACATGGACATACACATAAAACAAAAACACATTTCAATGTAGACATACACATAAAACAAACAAAAACACATTTCAACATAGACATACACATAAAACAAAAACATATTTAATACAAGGAAATGTCTCAAACGATTTTGGGAGGCGTTCTAGCAAAGCAGCAACGTTTGAGGCAGTTGTCTTCGATTAGTAACGAAAGTAGCTTGAACGAGTGTTTAACTTGAACTTGAGGTACCAAGTTGAGATTTGACTAAGTTGAAGTTTGACCACAAACGATTTTGAGAGTCGTTCCAACTTAATCAAGTGTTTAACTTGAACTTGAGGTATCAAGTTGAGGTTTGATCAAGTTACTCTTTGCTCTCAAATAATTTTGGGAGTCGTTCTAACTTAATCAAGTATTTAACTTGAACTTGAGTTATCAAGTTGAGGTTTGATCAAGTTGTTCTTTGGTTTCAAACGATTTTGGGTGTCGTTCTAACTTAATCAAGTGTTTAACTTGAACTTGAGGTACCAAGTTGAGGTTTGATCAAGTTGCTCTTTGGTCTCAAACGATTCAGGGAGTCGTTCTAACTTAATCAAGTGTTTAACTTGAACTTGAGATACCAAGTTGAGGTTCGATCAAGTTGCTCTTTGGTCTCAAACGATTTTGAGAGTCGTTCCAACTTAATCAAGTGTTTAACTTGAACTTGAGGTATCAAGTTGAGGTTTGATCAAGTTACTCTTTGCTCTCAAATAATTTTGGGAGTCGTTCTAACTTAATCAAGTATTTAACTTGAACTTGAGTTATCAAGTTGAGGTTTGATCAAGTTGTTCTTTGGTTTCAAACGATTCAGGGAGTCGTTCTAACTTAATCAAGTGTTTAACTTGAACTTGAGGTACCAAGTTGAGATTTGACTAAGTTGAAGTTTGACCACAAGTTGCTCTTTGGTCTCAAACGATTTTGGGAGTCGTTCTAACTTAATCAAGTATTTAACTTGAACTTGAGTTATCAAGTTGAGGTTTGATCAAGTTGTTCTTTGGTTTCAAACGATTCAGGGAGTCGTTCTAACTTAATCAAGTGTTTAACTTGAACTTGAGGTACCAAGTTGAGGTTTGATCAAGTTGCTCTTTGGTCTCAAACGATTTTGGGAGTCGTTCTAACTTAAACAAGTATTTAACTTGAACTTGAGGTATCAAGTTGAGGTTTGACCAAGTTGAGGTTTGACCAAGCTGCTCTCTATTTGGTCTCAAGCGACTTTAAGAGACGTTTTAGTAAAATCTCAACGTTTGAGGCACTAGTCTTTGATTAGTAACGAAAGTAACAAGCGTGTAACTTGAACTAAAGTGTTAATAGTAAAAGTACTCACGAGAGCACTGACGAGGTTCATCGCTGCCGTCGCCGCAGTCGTCGTCCACGTTGCAGAGCTTGTTCAGGGCGATGCAGCGGCCGTTGCCGCATTGAAATTCGCTCTGTCGACAAGAAAGCACCGTCGTCGCCATGAGAACGCAGATGAAAACCGGCCAGTGCGTGTCTGAAACAGAGCAGCTTCGGTTAATGACCCGATAACTCTCGTCTCCTGTTTGCGATTCAAATCTTGCTGGAAAAATATGGCATTGTTTATGCGGGGAGCTAACGGGAAGCAAACAACGCATTCGTCTTCATAGTTTCGCGAGAAACATCGCTTCTTTTTTCCCCCGAATCGATTTTCTTTGTTACATTGATTGACGACCGAGTGATTTATGTCTCTGAAGATTATCGTTACTTTATTGGAAAGTCGTAGCGAAACATTTGTTCGAAAGTTGTGTGGGTAATTAAATTTTGAGAGGTTACGCGATAGCATATTTTGTCTAGACAACAGTTTTTCGTGCAAAGTTACAGGGAACTAATATCGCTAACTTCTCGAATATAACATCGATCTCGAACTCGATCGAAGTTGCATCGTTACACCGCTCCGAGGAAAATTCACGGGAAACTTCGCCTTGTTCGCAAGCTGCTATTATGTACGGCATTCAGATTCAAATGGCATTCAACTTACGAGCCTACAGGCCTCGATTACAGCGAAGCACGATAGGATCGTATACGTGTTTTCCAAAAGAAAAGACTGGAATAAGAAACGGATATCAGAGCGTGGATATTCTCCATAGAACGTTTCTCCGTCGAATTAATTCGATTAAAGAATTTGTAACGCAGTGTTTAGACACCGAAATGTTTCTAGCAAGAACCGATTTCTCGAGGGCCATTGATGGAGCACTTAGTAGTAAAAAAGGGGTAAAAGGCGAGGGACGAAAATCGAGAATTTCAGAGGCCAATTATTCGGTCCACTCGAACAGCACGCGGAAAATTAAACGGTTCGAGGACACTAGAAATAAATACTTCGCCCCTTTCGCGTCACCTACTCTTCGTTCGAGGGTGCTGGAAAATTACGAGTACCGGAGAGACTTTGAAAAAAAAAGAAGAGGGAAACATTTCTGCCTACGTGTAATATATAGTCTTCCCGATTCAACTTTGCAGAGCTATTTTCATGGAAATCGGTCCCGGTAAATATCTTTCGGGAATCACCCCATATTTCATGCGCGTATTAATTCTGCTCGAATATAAGAAACGTAGAGGCACAATTTCATCCATGGCTATCGCCATACAGCTATATCAGCTGTATTTTAAATTATAGTTGTTGTAAATGGAAATAATTCTACTCGAACATAAGAAACGTAGAATTTCGAGATACAATTTCATGCGATGTGGTTGAATGTGCTTCAATTTTAAGTTCGTCATATTCCAACGTCTGCTGTAATATTGCAGTGATTAGTTCTGACGCAGCTAACAATAGCTACTTCAGTGTCGCACCCAATTTACAGCTCCCTGTATCAATGGAAACGGAAAATTTTCTTCGAAACTCCAACATTAAATTACCGTGCCGTATTACGCGATACCGTAAAAGCAGACAAAAACCTCGAATTTTTAGACTTCGACCATTAAAACGCGGGAGCGTTGTTAGAACGTCTCGAGCAAGGATATTCGTTGTATTTTCGATACAGAATAGAGGTCGTTACGGCTAACGAGACGAATTTTAACTTCCCAGTGGAAATTCATACGCAAATTCTTTGTGTACGATAAAATTTCAATCTTGTTCGATCGAGAGAGTGTTTGAAACGCGTTCTTGCCGCTGAAAGGTCTGAAAAATCCGGATATTAAATCCGAGCGGCGACCAGAGGAGAAATAATTCAGGGAAAAGCTGAGCAGTAGAATTTCTGAGCGTTCGTTAATCCAGAAACGACTGCGATTAATGTAATAATGCGATCTGATGGCCCTTAACGCTTCCGCGACTTCCTGCCGGCTGGATCCATTATGAAATCTACGTATAATTTTCCGCGTACGTCGCGCGACAGAACGAGACGGAAGATTTTAATTACGGCATTGTTCCGCGGAATATAACAGGCCACGCTGACAGCCTGATGAATCCGTCGCGATGGAACCCCAGCCGAGATTCGCAAGGTAAGAAAGTAATGATCACGAAACGTCGATGATCCGTCGGAGAATTCGAAGCGTTCCAATATTTTTCCCCTCGGTTTTTCGATAGCTTCGAATATGTACATATTCTTTTATTTACGCCTGTGTCAGGCTCCGAACAGTTTCAATAGATCGAAGAATTTCTTGCCGAGAGTACTTAACGTTGCGACTCTCAGACACTTGGCCGTTGCTTGATCAATATCCGTGCAAAGAAATAGGTCGCTCTTATTTCCGGTCCCCGGTGATTTCGCTTCAAAGCTCGGCTTCGGAATATCTTTCGAAATCGCTGCCACTTTAAACCCTTATCTCGATAATCGAAATTTTATTAACACTTAAATACGGTCAAATGATCGTCCCACAAGTTTCTTATTTATAAGGCACACATTTTGTTAAAATTCCTTGGAATGAGCATTGATTTTCATGAAGATAAGGAATAGATGTGTGTACTAATTTATGTTTCGTTGTTTGTTTACACATTTTTTAACTTCATTTTTAATTTAAAATTAGTAGACATTATATGTAGATAGGTTTAATGTTAAAAGCATGAAATGAAAATTCAATTTTCATCGAAATTTGTCCTACGTGCACTTTCGTTCTTTGAGAAAGATCGATGAAGTAATTTGCTTGGAGCGGAGAAAAAAAATTCGTGTCAGCATCGCATTTTTCGGGATGTTTCTCGTTCCGCGAGAAGACGTGGCTCGCGATAAAAGCGTCAGGACGCTTTTCGTCACGGGCCACGGGACAAAAAGGGCTCGAAAGCAGGCCTGTATCTCTTCCAAAGCCCACGGGTCGGCGTTCTTTATCGTGGAAAACGACGACAAAAGCCGGCCAGAAGCCATCGTGAAATAGGAAAAAAGAGAGAAAAATGGGATCGAAAAACTTGCGAGGTTTTTACGTAGAATCGAGCGAGAAAAACAACCTTGCCTTGGTCGTTTTAACCTCTAAGGGGAAACGTCGATGACGTTTAAGACAACACCGTTATATCGCCATGGATGAAATTTTACCAGCGTGATATTCTACGTTTCTTATATTCGAGGAGAGTATGAATTCTTCACTGTGTACATTTAAGATACAGTGAATTCTCGTTACATTGTCACAGATGAAATTGTAACAGTGTGAGATTCTATGTTTTTTATATTCGAGAAGAGTATTAATTCGTTACTGTGTACATTTAAGACACAGCCAACCCTCGTTACATTGTCACAGATGGAATTATAGCAGTGTAAAATTTTACGTCTTTTTATATTCCAGTAGAATTAATTCGTCACTATACAATTTAAGATGCAGCCAACCCTCATTAATATGATATGATATAACATAATATGATACATGAAATATATAATATGATAATATGAAATTGTAACAATGTGAAATTCTACGTTTCTTATTTTCTAGACGAAAATTAATTCGTCACTGTAAACACCTAATACGTCAAGAGTGCGTCACAAGTGCGCATCACGAGTGTGTTAGAGGTGCGTCAAGGGTGCGTCAGATATGCATCTCGAGTGCATTCATGGATGTGATAGAGGTGCATCAAGAATGCGTCAAGAGTGCGTCAAGAGTACGACAAGGGTGTGTCAGGGTTGTGATAGAGGTGCGTCAGAGATGCGTCATGGGTGCGTCACGACTTCATCTCGAGTGTGCCATGAGTGCGTCATAAGTCTATCAAGAGTGCGTCAGAGATCCACCAAGAGTGCGTCATGGGTGCGTCATAAGTCCCTCAAGAGTGCGTCATAGATCCATCAAGAGTGCGTCATGGGTGCGTCATAAGTCCCTCAAGGGTGCGTCATGGGTGCGTCAGATCCATCGAGGGTGCGTCAGAGATCTACCAAGAGTGCGTCATGGGTGCGTCAGAGATCCACCGAGGGTGCGTCAGAAATCCACCGAGAGTGCGTCATGGGTGCGTCAGAGATCCCCCAAGAGTGCGTCATGGGTGCGTTCGAGATCCACCAAGAGTGCGTCAGGTGCGAGACTCGTCAAACTAATGCAAAAGTTATAAAAACCGTCGACAAAATATATACACAGCAACTTTTTCGCACGAAACTAAAAACAGACACGTCGAAGCGACATTTTGTCGAATTTCCACGTAGGTAAATCGAATCGTAGGACAGTTTGCGAAACAGTCTAACGCGTTGTTTGAAAATCCGACGTTTCTCCGCGCAATACGGAGGTGAATTCGCGATAAAGAAACGTTCCGCGAATCGAAGACGTCGAATAGCCGCGAGTAATAAAGAGAAGATAAAAATAAAAGGTGGCCCCCAGGGGTAGTTCGATACAGACCCTTCTCGAAGACGCCGCGAAAGAGAATTCTTGTTACGATCGCCTCCGGCTTCCTTTTCGAAACTTTCCACTTCCTTTGAAAACCGGTGTCGCTCGGAAGCGCACGAAAAACGCAGAAATTCGATCGCCCGCGGGATCCCTCGCGGTTACCGTTCTACTCGGAGAAAGAAAAGCGATACGCGTGTTCTATGATTCGTTTATCGCCAGAGTGGATTTCTCGGGATCGATAGAAAAGTCTGCGAAGAGGTGGCAATTGTCTCGGGTTCGAATCGAATCCCTTAAACCCCGATATCGGATAGTTTAGATGGAAAATTCCAGATGGAAAATAAATAAATCCGCAGAGAAATATCGAAACGATTAGGGGAAAACAATTCCGGGATCCCGGTGGAATAGCTGAAGTGAAAAATAAATAGAAAAGTAAGAAAAAGGTGGGAAGAATAAAAGGCAAACGAAGTTAAACGAGTTTCCTCCGTATCGAATTACTCGGGAAAAAGGGTGGTTCGAATGAAATCGAATTCGTGTATCAATGCGGACAAGTACGTCTAAAATTTCTAAAATATTAGTTAGGAAAATCTTCACGATTAAAGAGGGTACTCGGAAGTGGTCGAAGATCGATCGAATTTCTCGGTTCTTTCGGAAATATAGAACTCGCGATTTCGGTAAATACAAACTCCTTTGTAGCGGAAGGTAGTTGCGGTGGCGCCAACCGCGAAGCTTCTCGAGGTCGAAACGAAAACGGATTTG